TGGTGCATTCATGGGGACAGTTTATGATCAACTAACTAAGCTTCCTGTGTGTTTCTGTGCTATGCCTGCCCCACCTGGTGGTTAGCTGCAGGGCATTTACTCCATTGTTAATATGGTAATTTCCCACCTGCCTGGGCGGAGATCCTTGTGCTGCAGTCAGGTAGATAAGGACTCCCCCAATGCTGAATAAAGTGGCATTCGGCTGATCTCCTTTCGAACAGCAGCGCGTGAACTGTGAACTGTACCGAGGGTGTAACACCAAATCGGGTGTTACATCCATCCACCATTTCTCATCTTTCCCGACCACCAGACCCTTGACATAAGCACTTGAATGTCCAATCTATTCAACATGAAATACTTGCCGTGGCCTCCAGTCCTCCCTCAGCTTTGCACTCTCTCCTCTTCTTCAATAATGCTACTACAGACTAAACATTTGTTTCCTCAAAATTCTTTATTCCTGTGTCGTGATACATGGAGGAAGGGCCTCAGAAACCAGGATCAAAGAAAGTCACAGATATTATTAAAGTAAGTCATAAAAGTGTGGTGGCCCCATATGTTCATATTCTTGAATGCTTGGTTCCCAGTTAGTGGAACTGATTGGGAAGGATTAGGAGGTGTGGCCTTGTTAAAGGACCAGGGTAACTGAGGGTGGGCTTTGAGGTTTCAATAGCACACACCGCCCAGTGTCTGTCTGTGTCTCTCTCTCTCTCTCTCTCTCTCTCTCTCTCTCTCTCTCTCTCTTTGCCTGCCTACCTGCCACCATGGTTCCTACCAAAATTATTGTGGACTGACCCTCTGGAACTATAAGCAAGCTCCCAATCAAATGTATTCTCTTACAAGAACTGCCTTATTTGCTCTCTGCCTGTTTGCCCTCACCTTGTTAGCAAGTCAGCTCCTTCACTGGCAATAGACCCTACTTCTTTGGGATTCCAGCATACACTGAGTACCAGCTAGACACCCAGACTCATGCACTGAGCAACTACAGAATTCCTGGACTTCCCATTGACAGCCAGCCACTGTTGGATTATCTGGACATCAGTCTATAAGTCATTTTAACAAATCCCTTTCTGTATATATAGACTGATCCTATAAATTCTTTAACTCTAGAGAACACGCATACACCTTCCTTAGATTTCTTGCTCTTACAATACTCTGTGCTGCTGCCTAGCAGGTTCATAAGCATCGCAGTCCACCCGCTAATCATATACTTGTACCTTCAAGGCCTACTTGCCATTGAGAACTGCAAGCACAATGGGGAGGGCTCTACGTTGCTTCACTAACTCTCCTGGTCTGGTTCTTAGCCCTACACACAAAGCTCAATGTGTTATGACCATAGATCAAAGAATAAGCACAGTCCCTGCCCATCCCCTGTATCTGCAACGTTCCCACCCTCTGGCCCACTACCTACCCTCTCTCCTTTAGTGTCCCTAAACTATCATTTCCAGAATATCACTTACCACGTATTCCCTTGCATGGTCACGTATCCTCTAGATATGCTAGATCTTCCACTCAGAAAGTAAGTTCTACGAGACAGAAAGAGTAAAATATTTAAACACATTTTCAAAAATGCCGATGCTATGAAGTATTTTTTTTGTTTGTTCACTATTATTTAAATAATTTTAAACCCTCAAAACTGTTTAGCCTATTAACAAAATTAGGAACATACTGAGCTATCTCCAAGTGTCCAGGCAAATTGCAAACTGTGTTCATTAGTTGTACTAACTCAAAACTAACTATTGCTAGATAGACCAAGAGCACAGCCACTGCCCATTTCTGGTCTAGTGAAAGACTGAAGGAAAGACTTCCTCCATCCCTCACAGACATGTTTCCCTCCACTGTAATACAGACATAAATCCAATGAAAGCTGCACCCCAAAATCACAATGAAAGCTGCACTCCAATTCATAGATACCTACAACCTTACTATCGTAAGTTATGATTCTTTACTTCCATTCTCAGCTCTTCCCAAAGAACACTGTACACAATGACTTTTCAAATATTTGAAATGTGACAAAAAGCTCTAAAACACACACACACACACACACACACACAGATATTAAATGCTAGAAGCTTAAATGCGGAAACACCTTTCTAGAGGCTGGAGAATAGCTCAGCAGTTAAGAACACTTGGGGCTCTTGCAGAGTTCAGTTCCCAGCACCCACGTTGGGTGACTCACAATTGCCAGGAGATCCAATGCCCTCTTCTGGCATCTGGAGGCACCCGCACGCACATATACACACGAACATGCAGACCAGTGGTTCTCAACCTTCATAACGCAATAACCCTTTGATACGGTTCCTCACGTTGTAGTGACCCCCAACCATAAAATGACTTTGTTGACCCAAAGGGGTTGCAACCCATAGGCTGAGAACCACAGAAACAGACACACTCACTGTGATGGCTATTCTTGGTTGTCAATGTAGCTATACAGGTATACAACCTGTGAGGGATTAACACTTGATTTGATGTGGGGCGATCTACTTCTAACCCAGATCTTTGAAGTAGGAAGACACACCTTTAATCCGGAGCAGGAATCTAGATCTAATCTGGGCCACACCTTCCTCTGGAAGCCTAGACAAGGACACTGAAGGAAACTCTTGCTCTTTGCCTGCTTACTCTCACCTTGTTAAAGTCCATTCCTTCACTGGCATTAAAGCTTAATTCTTCAAGACTCCAGCATTTATTGAAGACCTGCTAAGACTATCCGTCAAGGATATCCTCAAGGACTGAGCAACTACTGATTCCTGGATTTTCCATTTATGGCCAGCCATTGTTGGATTAGCTGGACCAGAGTCTGTATGTCATTCTAATAAATCCCCTTTCTATATATGCAGCTCTTTAGCTCTGGAGAACCCTGACTAAAACACACACACACACACATATGAACATATAGGTACACATACATAAAAATAAAATTTTTAAAAATGCTTAAGTCTTTACCAAACATACAAAGGAAAAATTGCAAATAATTGAGCCCTATCAATTACTGTTTCATAAGCAGCAGCCACCAAATAATATGATTAATGATTACTCCTCATTCCAATACACTCATGATTAAACTTGGGAGCCCAAGAGCTACTACTGGCATCACGGGCTCCTCAGAGCCGACAGAATTCAGAACAAACTCCATGCTCAGCATTTGAACCTGCAGCCGACCTCTCCCAGGCTTATCATCCTATTTCCTTCTCCACAAAGCCCCTCTCAGCCCGAACTCTCATCACACCGTTGGCCGCTGGTTAACACGGCAAGCGCTATCATGAAACTTCTTTGCTACCATTGTCCCTAATTGTCCATCCACCAGCCTCTTACTGAACCTCATTTGTGAAGCATTCCTGATTTCCTCTGGGAACAAGATCTCATCCCTTCTAGACTGCTACTGCTTAGTCTAAACTCGCTTCTTTTACCGAACTTACCAGAAACGGCCTCACGCGACAGTCACCGGTGCCCATGTTGAACTCCTGCAGTAAGCTACGAGATCCTTGAAATCGTGGGTTCAGTCGGTCATTTCTGCATCCTTCAGTTTCTGCACAGAATACATGGCAGGCAGGTTGGACTCTCAATGTGCACCTTTCTGTATCACTAAGTTTGCATTTCCCTTCTGCTTCTCCTCCCCACCAACGTGCATTACTGAAACCACCAGGGAAGCAGACACTTTCACTGATTCACACATCAGAGCCAGATCACATGAGGCCCTGTCCCAAGGTCTGTAGACTCAAAGACTATGACAGGGCTCAAAGATCTCAAGCCCCATATACGAATGTTTAAATAATAATAATAAAATATCCCCAACACAACAAAAGGAAAACTGCAATGGGAGAAACACAAGAAAAAAAAAAGGATGTAAAGAGACGGAGATAACAAAAAGGAATACTGAATAGTAAAGCGAGAGGTGGGCAACAGTCAGCATAATTAACACCTCTGGACAGTGTAAAAATGGAATCGAACACTCGCTGCCACACGAGTCTACAGTTAGAAAAGCTAATAAATACTGAACCACTGTAAATTCAATGTAAATGGAAAATGCCTATTCCTGGGCTGCCATTTGAAAGCAGGGAGACCCAGGGAACTATTCTGAACAGTTTACAAGTCCAGGAACGTCCATCAACACACGGAGTTGGAAGCTGTGGCGACAAGTCACCGAGACCCCGCACTTTGCCATGGTGGAACCCTGAAGCCCGGCCTCTCCGCCTGACGGATGCTCAATTGCACGTTCGCCGGTTTGCATCTCCCGCCAGACTCCGAGGTAAGCGCGGGACCGCGGGACTCGCCTCTCCTCCGACCTCAGGCGGCCCCGGGGCCTGGACCAAGGCTTGCGCTCCACATATGGATGAACGGGAACCCATCCCGTCTCTGTGTATCTGTGGGATCTGTAGCTAGGGTCGCTCTTTCGCCCTCGGCAGCTGCCAGACCCAACTCCTAGGATTATTTCGCTCAGCCCAGGACTCCATTGAAATCCCGACCGTCGATCCTGGCTCGCCAAACACCCGCCAAGCGCCCCCATTTACCTACAGAGAGCCCCCGGGTCGCCGCCGAAGCCGAGCCTGGTTACTACAACAGCCTCCACGGCAAAGGCGCCGCCCGCGCCTCCGGAACAGGAAACCCCGGGAATTAAAAAGCAAACCTGAAAAAGCTAAGCCTAGGGAGGGAAAACTCTCCGGAGCGCATCTCAGCACCTTTTGCGCCGTGATTGGCGGGTCAGCGAGAGTGACGGACATCCAGACCAATAGACACTGCGTATAACTCTCACTCCCGCCCCTCCACCTTGACGTCCTCCAATCCGGAAGCGCAACCGGGTGAGCGCGCGTTTCCGCCGCGAAAGGGCATCGGTGCGCGCGGCTTGGAGATGCCCGGCTCCACTCCGGGTGCCTCGGGGTCACGGCGGCCAGAGTCGCGCGGAGACATGAGTGACACTGGAGGGGACTGCACGCGCCTCAGGAGCTACCCCCGGCTCCCTGTGTGGGTGGTGGAAGATCACCAGGAGGTGAGCGGGGCGGGCGGCAGAAGCCCCCGAGCCCTGACAGGAGGGATTCGAACCCCAGCAGTCTGCAGAGCCCTGGCCAGCATCTGACGCTGGCTGCCTCCTGTCTCCCGCCGACGATGAGAGCTGACCCCTCAGCTGTGAAATGGGCACCATAATCGTAGATCCTGTTATCGGGCTGTTACTGAGGTCATAAGTCTTCAGCGTTTCTGAACGTTTTATAGCAGTGCTGTAGTAACGTGGATTCCTTACGTAGACTTCTAGTAGACTAGAGGTCCGTGAGTCTAGGAGATTTATTTAAAGGACTTATGGGGGAGGAGGTCTCTGAATATAAAACAAGAGGGGTTAAGAGTGAAGCTCAGTGTTACTGCTTTTGACGTTGACCTTGGGTTCAACCCCTCCCCCTAATGGAGGAAGAGGACTTACTGATGGAAAAAGATAAAGGAGGAAAAGAAAGTTGATTTCTGAGACACAGTCAACTTTGGGTTGGTCTGTGTTTTCCAGTTTAGTAGTAAACCTGGACACATAGCAGGGTGTAAGAGTGGCCTAGGGCCATCATCCTAAAGGAACAGAAAATGCCCTAAAACCTTCAGAGTACCTAGAACACAGAGTGGCTGAGCAGTTGGGTGATAAAGACGGAGATTTTTGTCAGCACCATCTACAAGAGATTTTATATTTTCCCACTTTTGAACACCTTGATGCACTTCAGGTTTGTGCAGTTATTTTTTTTTTTTATTTAGAGACCGTCTACATTTGACAATATGTCATTCTTAGTGTGTGTGTGTGTCTCTGTTACAGGTTCTGCCTTTCATATACCGGGCCATAGGTTCGAAGCATCTTCCTGCCAGTAACATAAGCTTTTTACATTTTGACTCCCATCCGGACCTCCTTATCCCTGTGAATATGCCAGCGGACACTGTGTTTGATAAGGAAGCACTCTTTGGGTAACACAATGCTTTTAATCATATTTCATGTGTTTGAAATATAACATGTAGCCAGATAAAACAGCAGGCTTGGTTATACTCATGTATTTGTTTTTTGTTTTTGTGTGTTTATTTATTTACTTGTTTGCCTTTTTTATTTTGTTCAAAACAAGTTTTCGACAAACTAAAAGAGCCAAAATAGAGACCAGGCGTGGTGACTGATACCTGTGATCCCAGCCCTTAGAGCACAGAGACAGGAGAATTACTGTTTGAAGACAGCCAGGGCTACATTGAAGCCTCTTTATGGTTAAGTGTCCATTGTCAGTTCGGCAGCATTTAGAATTATCTGTAAAGTGGACTACAGGACTTGGCTGTGGGTGATTATATTGGGTGGATTACTAATACTAACAGTGGGTAGACCCACCTACGGTGAGTAGTACCCTTGCCAGCTGGGGTCCTGGTCTGTATCAGTGGAGAGAGGGACATGAACAGTACCTTGAATTCATCTCTGGTTCCTGATTATGGATGCTTCAAACTTGCCACCTTGACTTTGTTGCCAAAACCCATTACTTTGGTCAAAGTATTTTATGGTGGCCACAGGAGAAGAAACTAAGAGGAGCTTGCACTATCTCCCTCCCTCCCTCCCCCCCCCCTCTCTCTCTCTCTCTGTGTGTGTGTGTGTGTGTGTGTGTGTGTGTGTGTGTGTGTGTGTGTGTGTGGTGATTTCAGTTTCCTGTCATTATATCCATAAAACTACTTGTCCCTGCCTTCGTAACTTGAAAAACAGTCATGAATGTTGTGGAAACAAACAGCAAGAGGTCATTCCAATAAAACTTTACAAAAAGAAACAAATTATAAGAGACAGCCAAGCCAGCATTTGACGGCCTCTAATTTAGAGTTTAGAATGTTAGAGGAGACTTGTGATATCATCTTCCTCTCTTTCCGCTCTTAAAGCCTGGTGGTGGGGTACAAGAAAATGTGACTTCTGAAACAGTCTCATAAGCATTCAATGCTATATCTTCAATTTGCCTGTCCTTTCTACGATTGTGTCCTTCCTTCTTCTCCGTGAACTTATTTTCAGGTCACAAATCCTGTTGACTTTCAGTTTTGTAAAATCACAAGCGCGGGGCTGGAGAGACGGCTTGGCACATAAGAGCAGACAAAGGACAGAAGTGTGCTTCCCAGCACCTACACTGGGAGGCTCACAACCATTTTGTGGCTGCTCTACAGGACCCAGCTCCATCTTCTGGCCTCTGCAGGCACCTGCACTCATGTGCATGCACACACATAATTAAAAAGTCAAATAAATCTTGAAAAATACAGTCATAGGAATAGAAATAAAATTCATAATTCGTATTCCATCCTTCAGAGATATATGTCTTCAAATAATGGTTTCTCTTCTATAACAGAGTTCCCTGAAATCCTCTCATTATCTCATATGTAAAAACATACTTTCGGTCACCTATAGATCTTGTAGTTGACTTTTTCCAGAACTCCAATAGGCACTAACCCCAAGGAAATGCAGTAGTCCCACCGTTCCCTTGATGTGTTCCACAGCTTAGAAATTAGTCATAAAATAACAAACTTTTTAGTATTCTCATTTTGCTTTTTTTTTTTTTTGGAGGCTAGGGTTTCAGCTTGTTATATAGCCAAGGCCTCCCTTGCACCCCTCAGTGGTGCAAGGACTGCATATACACACCACCATACCTGAGTGTCTGCTTTCTTTTAAACTCTTAGAAAATTAAGCCTTGAAAACAATTTGAATTATAGTTGTGTGTATTTACTTTAAAATTAAAAATAAAGTTTTCAGATGTCATTGTAAAATATCAAATCATTATGTCTGCATAAATGAGTTATTTTTGTAAAAAAAATACATTTTGAAACTATCACATGGAATGTAAATGTTTTTAAGATCTAGTTTTTGCCCCTGTAAACGACACCTGGGTTCTCTGTTTCTTCATTCAGTCTGTTGCTGTGTGTTGTTTTGGTTGAAGTATATGATGAAAGTTCTTACCCTCATATAGATGTGATTGGAAAATGAGATAGTGTTTTCATTACTTACTCAGATAAGTGATGTTGTGACTGTTCTTTGATCTTCCACCAAAACTCCACAGACTTCTGAGAGCTCAGCTGGAATGTAAAATCCAACAATCCAGCCTCGTGTCTAAATAACCACAGTTAATTGAGCTTTCAAAAAAAAATTGATTTGATTCACAATTCAGTCCCAGGTGCTTTTCCTTGAAGCAACCATTGTACTTCACAGCCTAGAGGAGGAGTCCTGCTGTTTTCCTCTTATTTCTACACAGAATATTTTAGAATTACTAGTTAGGAGCAAGAATTAGTAAAACCAAGAACGTTCTCCAGCAAAACTAACTTTTGGACATGGTAGATTGCTAATTATGAAATCCAGAGGGACTGTTAATTGACCTTGTATGGTACATAGGATCCCAGTCCACCGGCAGGCTTGTGCAAATGTTTGCTCAGCGCAAGGGAAATCGCATCTCCGTGAAAACAGTTTTAACCTCAGGGGCCATACTCTGGAGACATACTGTCTTCAAATGTTTGGGGAAAAGCATTCACTAATAATTTTAATGTTTCTGTTTTTTCCAGAGAACTAAGTATTGAAAACTGGATTATGCCCGCAGTTTACGCCGGCCATTTTTCTCATATAATATGGCTTCATCCCACATGGGCTCAGCAAATCAGAGAGGGCAAACACCACTTCGTAGTAGGCAAAGACATTTCTACCACCACAATCAGGTAATTTCTTCATTTTTGGTAAGAACTGAATGCTTGTTCCTTTGAATTCTTGTAATAACTTCCGAAATGCCTCCTTGCAGAGCCGTGTCTAGGCCCAGCTGCTCCAAAAAGTCTTTGAATCACCAGAAACAGATTTTTAATTCTCTTGATCTCCTTCATGTACTCTTTGTATTTGTTACTAGTTAATTCATTTTGTTTTATGACGTTCTCTGGAATTCGGGTTCCATTGCTGGCTAACTTCATCAAGTCTTTACACTACCTTATAGATTTATACAATCAATGGTGTCTTTTGTTCCCTGCTTCTTCTGATGCAACTGTAGTGTGCTGAGTTTAACTTTTAGATTTAAGCCAGACAAGGTGAGTGGCACATATCTATAATCACAGCCCTTGGGAGGCTGAGGCTGGAGGATGCTCAAATTTGAAATCAGCCTGAAGCTAAGAGCAAGACCTTGTTTCAAAATGCAAAATAAGGACTGGAGGTGTAGCTCAGTGGTAGACCACTTACCCAACATGCCTACAGTCCCGAGTTCAATTCCCAGCACAGAGAAAACATAAAATTTACCTGGGAGTTGTGGCACACACCTGTAATCCCAGCCCTCTGGAGGCAGAGACAGAAAGGTCTGGGGTTCAAGGTCATCCTCAGCCTCCTAGTGAGTCTGAGGCCCGCTGATAATTCAGTGTCTGAATAAGCAGATTTTAGGTTTTAAATGTATTGTTATGGTTTTTGGGATTCAGGCTAAGTTAAACTACTATGCCCTCTGATTTGATCTATATGTGTCTCAGGGTTTTATATGTGATTCTGAACCAATATCCTCCAACTTGTGTTGCTACAATGTCTGTCTTTAGCAGTAGCAGTCCAGTTCTAAATTCTCTTGGGAGAGGAAGAACTTTTAAACCAATGTACACATAACTTTATAGGCCCTGAGTGATAGTAAAAATTGTGACCCTAATTCTTTTTCTGTTTTGATGACAATGTTACCTTTGGTGTTACATGCTTTTATCATTAATATGAGTAGCATCATCTTGATTTATGAAAATTGTGCTATAGTTTCTCTGTAGCTTTGGAGCCTCTACTGGAACTAGCTCTTGTAGACCAGGCTGGCCTCAAACTCATGGAGATGCCACCACTGCCCAGTTTACTATACAATTTTTAAAAAGTGATTAGTACTCAACATATACCAAATATTGTACATAATATTGATCTACATAAAAAAGTGAATTTAGTATGTTGAATGGGCCTAATAGAACAAATCATTTTGTTTAGGCTGACAGATATTTGTTGTTATTGTTCACAACAGCCCATCTTTGGTCTCCCAAATGCTGGGGATAAAGGTGTGAGCCACTGTGCCAGCTTGATGTGGAGATATATGTATGAGAGACAGGTTCTCACTTATGTTGCCTTGAAAAGCCTAGCACGCTCTGGAGACCAGGCTGGCCTTGAACAAACAGAGAAGTGCCTTCCCAGTGCCGGGATTTAAGGGGTGTACCACCACACCAGGCATGGTCTTGGTTTCCTGAGACAGGGTCCTATTCTGGCACAGAGCATCATAGACATTTTCAGAAACTCAATATATAATTTCAGCTTTGGGAATATTGTGCTTAGCTCATGACTTAGTCCAGCAAGTGAAAATGTGTGAACAGCCAATTTCAATTGTGTGTAGGCATGAATCTCCGTTTATTTATTTGCAGAAATAGAAGCAAAGTGAAATTTGCTTATTAAGAATATGAGGAGCCGGGCGGTGGTGGCGCACGCCTTTAATCCCAGCACTCGGGAGGCAGAGGCAGGCGGATCTCTGTGAGTTCGAGACCAGCCTGGTCTACAAGAGCTAGTGCCAGGACAGGCTCCAAAGCTACAGAGAAACCCTGTCTCGAAAAACTAAAAAAAAAAAAAAAAAAAAAAAAAAAAAAAAAAAAAAAAAAAAAGAATATGAGGCTTTGTAGACAGCTAAGTTGGTAAAGTGCTTTACAGTATAAGCATGAGGACCTGCGTTTGATCCCAGAGCCTGTATGAAAAGCTAGGCCTGGCACCACATACTTCTAATGCCAGTCCTGAGGAGGCAGCGTCAGGCAGATCTGTATGACTTCCAGCTCCAGACCAGAAAGACTGAAGGGATGCCACCCCGGATTGGCTAGGTTCCACAAACATATACTGGCATGCATACCACACACAGACTAGAAATTTAGGTTAGGGTTACAGTGTTTGTTTTCATTAGGGTGTTACAGTTTTTAATAAACTTGCATTCTATTTTATGTCATTGATCTGTTTTAAAATTGTCTTCTTTTTAATTTACAGCTATAGGGGCTGGGGATAGAGCCTCGGTTGGTAGGGTGTGTGGTTAGTGTGCTGGAAGCCCCAGACTCAGTCCCAGAACATTATGAGCCCATGCCAAAATGCCAGCACTCAATGGAGACAGGAGAATCGGTACTTTAAGGCCAGTCTAGGCTATGTGAGACCGTGTTACAAGTCACTTTAAAGCTACATATATATATATATATATATATATATATATTTAAGTGTGGACAGGTGGGGGATAAATGTATTCTTTTTATTTAGTAGAATATGCCTCTGAAGCATGTATTGAATATAGTCTTCTAAGTACTCACAGAGACATAATATAGCCAAAAAGCCAAGAATATACTGATATTTTTAGAGTCAGAAATATTACCTACATATTCCTATTGTCCTAGATTCTTGAAAGGCTGAGGCAAGATCACTTGAGCCCTGGAGTTTGGTCCCACAATGAGCACCTTAGTCACACTCTGTCTCTTTAAAAAGGAAAGGAAAGCAAAAATAAAGTCGGAGATGGAAAGATGGCTCAAAAGATAAGAGCACTTATTGCTTTATAAAATCATTGGAGTTGGGATCTCAGCACCCGTGTCAAGAAGCTCACAAACACCTGTGTCTCCAGCTCCATGGGAGCCAGCGAGCCCCGGTTGACCCCATGACACCTGCTCACTTAATACATACATACATACATACATACATACAGAGAGAAAGAGAGAGAGTGCGCACACTATAAATCTTTAAAACAGAAATCTAGGACTCATGAAATTGCTTTTCATATTAAAATATTGTGTTTATATACTTTAAATGAAGCTATAAAATATATCAGAAAGACCTGTATTTAGAGAAATTTTTCTTATAATTTTTTCTTAAATAAAAAACTTACATTTTTTAAGTGTGTGTGTATCTGTCTGTCTGTCTGCATTTGCCAAAGGAGGCTAGAAAGGGGGTTGGCTACCTTAGAGCTAGGGTTCCAAGAGGTTGTGAGCCATCTCTTATAGATGCTAGGAAATGAATTCTGGTCCTCTGAAAGGGCGGCAAGTGCTCTTAACTTATCCACTCTCCTTCCCTTTGTTTTCTTATTTGAGTAACAATTTCCTTCTGATATTGTTGCTTACCTCACACACACAAAACCTGGGTAACAACTCTCCAGTTCAGAAAAACTAGATTTTTCTGTCCTTTCTTTCTTTTCCTTTCCTTTTCTTTTCTTTTGTGTGTGGGCCCATACTTGCAGCAGCCTGCCTTGCCTTCACAAGCTCTGAGATTACAGACATGGATCACCGCACCTGTCTCCTTCTAGCTTCATGTTCCATGATCTCTGGAGTCGACATAACTTCCCACCTTCGTGCTCATGGCTGGTCAGCGGGATGGGAGAGCACTGTTGCACACATCTGTTTTCCTATCACAGTCACTGACCAGAACCTCCGAGGTGGTCACATCTAGCTGCAAGGTGGACTATAAAAATGCAGTCTACGTCGGGCAGTGGTGTGCCCGCTGAGAACATGGAGAAAGCCGTTTCTACTGAAGACAAAGCACAAGTGTTGTCGGGGGTGCCTTATTTCTGCAGCGTCATAGTCATGTCTGCTCTTTGCTCATTCCTTGAAATATTCTTTTCCCTTTGCTCCAGGGTTACCAGTACAGATTATTACTTCCTAAGTGATGGTCTCTTTGTACCTGAAGACCAGCTGGAAAACCAAAAACCATTGCAGTTGGATGTGATCATGGTAGAACCTTACAAACTCTGTAACAATCAGGATGACAGTGACTCCGTGTCTTCTGCAAAGAGGCCCAAGCTGGCACTGGGCGGTAGAGAGAGCACTTCCTCTGCTAATGGGGACCCTTGCTCAGAAGGACTGTCAGGGGATGCAGGGACCCCAAGAAGTGACCATGCTTGCCAAGAGACATCATGCTCATGTTCTGGAGGCCAGCAGTACCAGAGCCCAGCCAGCACTGGGAACATTCTGGAAATGCTGAAGGATGGAGATGCGTTTGTTTTAGATATTGACTTGGATTTTTTTTCTGTCAAAAATCCCTTCAAAGAAATGTTCACTCAGGTAAATGTGGTCTTTTGGAAGCATAGACCTTGACAATTGCATGGCATTTCTCTGTATTACAGGTAGCAAGCTTTCTGCAAACATCTGGATAATTATCTCCGGCTTACAGGTCATGTTTTCTGCCACATATTCTTCTGTTCTTTCCCAGTCTTTTAAAATTATATATAAGGGGGCTGGAGAGATGGCTCAGTGGTTAAGAGCACTGACTGCTCTTCCAGAGGACCCGGGTTCAATTCCCAGCACCCACATGGCAGCTCACAACTGTCTGAAGATCAGTTCCAGGGGATCTGACACTTCACACCAATGCACATAAAATAAAGTTAAATAAACCATAAAAATATTAAAAAAATAAATAAATAAATAAAATTATATATAAGCTTATCGTCAATCCTAATTAAAAATTCCAAAATCAGCTGGGTAATGGTGGTACTTGCCTTTAATCCCAGCACTTAGGAGGCAGAGGCAGGCAGATCTCTGTGAGTTCAATGCCAGCCTGGTCTACTGAGAGAGTTCCAGGACATGTTCCAAAGCTACAAAGAAAACCTGTCTGGAAAAAAAAAAATTCCAAAATCTAAAATACTGTAAAATCCAAAACTTTCTACACACCATGATGAAATGCATCCATAAAGTCCCCAGGTAGAACTTCTGCTTCAAAGCACCCATCTCAGGTAAAGATATCCACCTACATTATACTTTGTAATTTAGTAGCTATATTCGTATTTTTTATTACATGAACTTTTTTATTTTGGGTGACAGTGGTTCATGCCACAGCACACATGTGGAAGTCAGAGGACAACTCTCCAAAGCCAATTTTAAAATCATCAGGCTTGGTGGCAGGCACCTCTACCCTCTGAGCCATCTCTCTGGCCCAGCCGTATTTTTCGTATGAACAGAGATAACAAGTCAAAGCATAGTGGTACATGCTTGTAAGACCAGTACTTGGAAAATAGATACAGAAGATCATGAGTTCAAATCCAGCCTGGGCTATGTGGAACCTTATTGCAGAAAAAAAAATGATAATAGGTAATTCCAGTTTGTTCCATCTGTGTCCATCACTAGCTGTATCATCCTGGGAAAGATACTTGCCTTTCTGGCACTGTAAACAATCACCACAGCCTACGAAGTGAGTACCTCAGTAGTAGCACACTTACCTAGCTTGCTCAGGGTGTGCACCCCCTCCCCCTGTGCTGCAAAATCAGTACTTATATAATAAATGAGCCCCAGCTCATAGTATTGTTAAGATCAGCGAAGTACTGAAGACGTGCTACAGTGTTGTGCCTAGTACATTTTAGCTCCTATCTACCCCTGGGCCAGATGCAGCCACTTATAAATGGAGCTGTCTAGTTAGGTTTTTAAGGGGTCTACTCCTTTTATTTAACTTACAAAACCTAGCTGTGTTAGGCATCTTTCTCTTAACTCGGGTTCTGTATGTCAGCATTCCTTCTGTACACCAGAGGTCTCTGTTGCCAGGGAAGTAGCTGCGTGGTACACGTGGGGCATCTTCTGTCATCATCACTGCAGACGTGTGTCTCCCACGAACAGCTACAGTCTTTAGAGCTTGGGATATATCCATTCTGATAATGGTATAGTGTTAGACACAATTTTATGATCTGTTACCCTATTCGATAATTTTTATACTATATTCTGTCCAGCTGGATAAACCTGTCCTGGAAAATTAGATCTGCTTTGGAAATCTAAAGTATACAGTGTGCTTGATTCTCCCAGACAAACATTGAGATGCTATCTCAGATATTTTCTTATTTATCACTGGCATATTGTTGGAAACTCCTAACCTTGGGGGGTTTTGTTTTGTCTTACAGGATGAATACAAAATTCTACAGGAACTTTACCAGTTTAAAAAGCCTGATAGTAATCTTACTGAGGTAAACCCTACACTTTATCTACCACTAACTACTATCTTACTTTCGTTTTTTGGTTGTTTATTTTAAAAGAGTTTGTATAGTTCTAGCCGGCCTCCAATTCAGCCCCCTGAGTGCTGGGGTTGTGAATGTGAACCTCCTTGCCTGACTCTAATAATATCTTGTAGCTTATTTAAATGTTCTCAGCTCTCTGGGTTCTCTGTGTGCATATAGATATTCACACATACATGTGTATTTTTTTGATAAGTGCCTCAGTACACAGAAAATCTTTTTAGCTAAGTGAACTGGTATTTTCATAATTAGTATTTTACTTGTTTTTTAAAGGAATAACTGTAATCTCAGTTTTTCAATGTTCTTAAAGGAAGATTTGGTAGATATTGTTGACACTCGAACTCACCAATTAGAAGACTTAGAAGCAATTTTTGCTGATTTGTGTGATGGTGATGGTGAAGAAACTGTACAGAGATGGGCTTCAAACCCTGGGTAAGACCTCCTAAACATTTTCTTCCTCAAATCCTGAATTGTCCTTTCTAGCTACATTCCAAGTTTGTTGAATGGGTTGCTCTTTAAATTAGACTCAAGTTTTAGGGAGATGGCTTACTCAAGAAAGTGCTTGCCACATCGCCATGAGGTTCCGAGTTCAGATCCTGAGCATCTATTTAAAAAGCCAGGCTTGATAGTAATAGGGAGGCAGTAGCTCACTGGCCAACAAGCCTAACTGAATTGATAAGCATCTGAGTCAGTGAAAGATTCTGTCTCAAAACTAACTAAAGACGCCGTCCCGTGTTGACTACTGCCTTATTGAGTATTATTGACGTGCTCTCTGTCAAAGGATTTGGGGGTGGAGACAGGAAGATAGGAGTTGAAGGTTGTCAGCTGCATATTGAGTTACAAGCTAACCTGGGCTTTGGGAAATAAAAGTTACTTTTCTAAAATACAGTAATAATAGTAGTAACTACAAGTTTTGTTAACAAGATGACCGGGTGAGATGGTATATACCTTGAATCCCTGCACTCAGGAGGTAGAGGCAAGAGGATCTCCTTGAGTTCCAGGCCAGCCATGGCTACATAGTGAGACCCTGTTTCAAATTAAAGAAGATGGTATTGAACAACTTTATCTTTATTTCTCAACCATCATTTGAAGCATGTATCCATGGTGAAGCTCTACTTTTTAATCATTAATGTTTTTTGTATAATGCTGAGGGCTAAACCTGGAGCCTTGTACATGCTAGCTAGGCAAGCACTGAGGTGTTTTTGTTTTGGGTTTTTTTGGTTTTTTGTTTTTTGTTTTTTGTTTTTTTTTTTTTTTGTAGCTTTGGATCCTGTCCCGGAACTAGCTCTGTAGACCAGGCTGGCCTTGAACTCACAGAGGTCCGTCTGCTTCTGCCTCCCGAGTGCTGGGATTAAAGGCGTGTGCCACCACCGCCCTGCGCACTGAGTTATATACTCCTGTCCTGGTTAGGGTTACTATTGCTATGATGAAACACCTTGGCCACAGCAACTTGGGGAGGACAGGATTTATTCAGCCTATTCTTCCACATCACAATTCTTTACCAAAGGAAGTGAGGAACTCAAGCAGGGTAGCTCCTAAGGGCAGGAGCTGATGCAGAGGCCACGGAGAAGCTGCTTACTGGCTTGGTCCTCGTGACTTGCTCAGCCTGCTTTCTTATAGAACCCAGTACCACCAGCTGGGGGATGGAACTACCCACAATGGGCTGGGCCTCTCCCATTGATCACTAATTAAGAAAATTCTCTACAGGCTTGCCTACAGCCTGATCTTGGGCAATTTTTTCTGTTGAAGTTGACTCCTCTCAGATGACTTTAGCTTGTGTCAAGTTGACATAAAACTATCCAGCATAGCTCCTAACCCCAAAGCATGATTTTTAAAAAAAATATCTAGTATGCCATTTGTTGCTAAGGCTAGTCAAGGTTATTGTGGTGTTTAATGACTGGGGTGGCTTTCTTCCAGAATGGAATCACTAGTTCCACTTGTACAGAGTTTGAAAAAACGGATGGAAGTACCAGACTATGAAATGGTAAATATTTTATATCACTGTAAAATTGATACAAGTAATTTTCTGGGTGGAATTTTTGTTAAAGTAGCTAAGTCTGTTCATGTTACTTATTTATATTAAAGAGTGATAAAATACATACTTTTCAGAAAAAAAAATTTAAAAATAGTTTTCCAGGGGGGGTTGAAGAGATAGCTCAGCAGTTAAGAACACTGACTGTTGTTCCAGAGAACCTGGGTTCAATTCCCAGCACCCACATGGCAGCTCACAGCTGTCTGTGACTCCAGTTCCAGGGGGCATAACTTCCATAACAAAACACCAATGCACATAAAATAAAAATAGATAAAATTACAAAAAGATTTTTACCTTGAAAAAGATTCTTATTTTCTCTAAGAAGCAAAGGTACTATGAATCTTTTATTCATTTTTTTTTTTAAACTATGGCTTGCAACAGGATCTCATGCAGCTGCCTGGCCGGTAACCTCCTAAACTAACCCTAACCCCTAGCCCTTAACCCCAACCCTAACCTCCTGCCTCCATCTCACAGTTCTGGTATTTCAGGCACACACCACCCAGCTGTTACTACTTCTCTGGGGTTTTTGAGCTTTTACTGTGCTTGTCAATAGTCCAGTCTCACCTCACTATCCATAATTTAGTCTGTAGTTTCTAATTTCATCACTTTGTTGATTTTTTTTTTCTTTTGTCAGACAAGGTTTCACTGTGTGATCCTGGCTGACCCAGAATTTGCTATGTAGACCAGGCTGGCCTCAAACATCTTGTGAAAAGTGCTGGGGATGAAGGGGTGTGCTAGCACGCCTGGCATCTGTTCTTACTGAAGCTCTTTTCCTTTCTCTGAAAATTCACTCGGTCATAAAACCAAAAGAGAAAGAAGACAAATGTGTCTGGTGTGTTTTAAATGTTAATTCTTTGCCACTTGTCAATAGTGACCTGAGTGGGGAGACAAAGACATAGTGCTTGAAGCTTTCTAAGTCATGTGACTTACAGTCCTCACGGCTCTGACTCCATGTCCTTACAGACCTTAAAACATTCTAATGCATGCTAGGTGGTGATGCATGCCCTTAATCCCAGCACTCAGGAGGCAGAGGCGGGTGAATCTCCATGATTTTGAGGCCAGCCTGGTCTATAAGAGCTAGTGCCAGGACAGGCTCCAAAGCTCCAGAGAAACACGCTCTCATAAACACAAATCAAAAACAAATTCATATCCCTTATCATCCTTAAAACGTTCTGACTGCATATCATCTTATAGACCTTAAAACACGTATTTTCTTTTTGACCCGATATTTGAGAAAACTAAAAACTTTAAAAGTTGAAGTGAATCCAGGAAGGGCTTCTCTATTGTTTCCACACTCTGGCAGTGCGGCTCTAATAGCAAGTTCCAGCCTAGCCTGGGCTATATGCTTCTTTCAAAGTTACTCTGGGCCTAATAGCAACACAATCAGGTGCATTTCTCAGATTGTTAAAATGCCACAGCTGAGATTCCATCCCCTTACCTCTGAGTCTGCTGCTCTGTGTCATCAGTCAGAGGAGTTTTAATGTTTTCTTTTGTTGTGGAATGCTGCCATACCTCTTTATTCGAGATGGCGTTTACTAACTTAATCGTCACTTATCAAATAGATAGGTGAATAGCAACAAAAGAGTATAATGGTTAATGCTTGCTAAGCCAAAGCGTGCTCTTTTCTGAAAATGGCATTTGTTAAAAATAACACATCAGAGCTGGAGAGATGACTCAGCAGTTAACAGCACAGGCTGCTCTTTCAGAGGACTCGGGTTCAGTTGCTAGCACCCACATGACCACTGAGAATCATCTGTCACTGCAGTTCAGAGGATCTGATGCCCTCCTGTGGCCCCTGTAGGCACTGCATACGTGTGGTGCACATACATACGTGCAAGTAAAACACCTGTACACATAGAAAAAGAATGATGGATGCAGGATACTTGGGGCTTGAAAGTGTTGATATACCAAATGTGTGTTCAGATAAGTGTGCCTGAAGCATTCCTTGATTCTTCGTGCGCGCTGTCTCTCTCTCATCACAGTGCACGTGTAGTGGTCAGACTATAGAATTGGTTCTCTCCTGCTCTTGTGTGGGTTCTTGAGATTGAACTGCGGTACAGCTTTTTGCGGCGAGCAATTTTACTGATGAGCCATCACGCTGTCACCGTCAACTTTTATTTTTGAGAAAAGATCTCTCTGAATGTGAAGCTCCTTAGTTCAGCTTGGCTCACTGGCCAATAAGCTTTAAGGATCTGCCTGTCTCCTCACTGCCCACTCTCTCAAGAACCTCCCAAAATCATTAAAGTGTCATTTAGAGTCTTTGTTTCCAGCACTGGGCTTGAAGCCAGTGCTTGTGTTTGCTAGGCTACACTCTACAGTGAGCTGTATACCCAGCTCATGGTGCCATTTTAATTTCTTTCAGGTTCACCAGGCTGGGCTAACCTGTGATTATTCAGAACTCCCTCATCACATCAGCACAGAAGAAGAAATTGAGTGCCTTATTCAGTCTGTGTATTATCTACTGAAAAATCTTCCAAAGCCTACTCTTGTGACAATTGCAAGGTATGTGTGACTGGCTGAATAACAGTCCATCACAGATGGCCATGTCCTACCCTCTGGAACCCATAGCTGTGTTGCCCCTGCACAGCAGAGGGGACTTTGCAATGTGATGAATGCTAGGGTTTTGAAATGATTTATCCTAAATTACCTGAGTGGAACCAGTGTTGTCACAAAACTAGTAAAAGAAGTCTGAAATAGCATAGTCAGAGAAGGAGCTAATGTTTGGAAGGGGCCATACTGCCAGCTTTGAAGATGGAGAGTAGGTCTTCTATTCTCAGCAAAGAATGCAGGCAGCATCTAGACTAGTAAAGGTGAGAGGAAGAGCAGAGCTCTCCTCAAGCTATATTCTGTGAGTATGGACACACGCTCACAGAAGAGATGGCTAAGCAGTTAAGAGCATTTGCTGTTCTTGCAGAGAACCTGAGTTCTGTCCCAGCCCCCAAAATCAGGTAGTTCACAACCACAGCTCCAATTCTAGGGTATCTGATGCCGTATTCAGCACCCTGTGATGCGCACATACATGGGTGCACACTCACACAACACAAACACACAAAAATAAAATTTTAAGGAAAAAACGTTCCCTTACCCTGAAACAACACTGTGTCACCTATTCGGGGCTTGTGAGCATTAAAGAGCATGTAGGTCATGATCTGGAGTGATGGCTCTGTGGGTAAAGTGCGTGCCACTTAGTACAAGGGCCGGAGTTCAGCCACGGTAGCACATGCTTGTCATACACACTTGAGAGGCAAAGGCAGGAAGGCCATGGGAAGCTTGACCACCCTGGTCTACATAACCAGTTCAAGGCCATCCAGGTCTGCCTAGCAACATCCTGTCTCAAAGCAAAAGTACAGAAAGTTGGTCATTGTACCTGTCCTACAGAATAGCTTTTGAAAAATAATGATAAAGAACAATTCTTGAAAAGCACCTAAGGTAGGTAAACATCCTCCAGGTCTCGGGAACCCGTGTGTCGCCTCAGTGACCGCAGCACACACGGCTGTCCCTCCACACAGAATGACTCTGTCATACTCACAGGTCCTTCCTCTTTCTCTCTCGGCTGCAGGTCAAGTCTGGATGATTACTGTCCTCCTGAACAGGTTGACAGCATTCAGGAAAAGGTCCTCAGTGTGCTGAGCTCACTCTACGGGACCCTGGACACTCACCTGGTATATTCAGAGGAGTCTCCTCCATGTTGAAGCTCACAGAGCACTAGGCTCCTGTGCAGTTGGTACAGCAGCAGGGCTTTTGTTTGTGAGTCTTCCAGAGGACACTTTCATTTTTTGGCTTTTTGAGACAGGGTGTCTGAGTAGCCTTGACTGTCCTGGAACTTACTCGGTAGACCACACTGGCCTCAAACTCACAGAGATCCGCCCATCTCTGCCTCCCAGTGCTGGGATTAAAGGCATGTGCCACCACCACCCAGCCAGAGTACACTTTTTATGTTAACTTTCAGTTGAAATCAGTCAGATATTTTGAATCTCAAGCAAACATCAGTTGTTGAATACGGCAATTGAGGTAGAGGTAGGAGATGTTTGTTGGTTTGGTTTTATTGGGTTTTTTTTTTTTTTCTGGTTTTTCGAGACAGGGTTTCTCTGTGGCTTTGGAGCCTGTCCTGGAACTAGCTCTTGTAGACTAGGCTGGTCTCGAACTCACAGAGATCCGCCTGCCTCTGCCTCCCAAGTGCTGGGATTAAAGGCATGCGCCACCACCGCCCGGCTTTGGTTTTATTGTTTTTACATCGAATCTGTAAACCCCAGTTGATGGGGACTCTTGGCTATCTTTCTTGCTTTCCATGTTGTCTTTGATTTCATGAGAGATTTTTTTCTCTTCCCCAAACAGAGCTTTGGATTAGATGAGATTTATTTATTTATTCATTCAGCTGGTGCTTATTTAGCACTCTCCTCTGCCCGACATTGCTAAAGGCAAAATGCCCTGCCCTCCTGGGGGACACGGGAGCAGCAATGATGGGCTCTGGACAGTCTCAGGGAAAGAGAACAGATGCGTCTCCGGCATGCAGTCAGTGCTCAGGCACCCTGGCCTGAAGTAACAGTCTCAAAAACAATGCCAAAAGATCCTTGCCTGTCCATGAAGATACTGTGCTAAGGCAGCCTGTCTAAGGACATTGGAATTGTGCCCTCGCTTTTGCTAATGTTCTCCAGCATTGTTTTTATGCCAGAGGTCTGGTTGAGTAAACAAATTTTCCCTTTCTGTTGTTACTTGTAGGTTTTTTGGTGTTTTGTTGTTGTTTGGTTGTTTGGTTTTGGTTATTTGAGACAGGGTTTCTCTGTGTAGCCTTGGCTGTCCTGGAACTCACTCTGTAGACCAGGCTAGCCTCGAATTTGGAGAACTACCTGCCTCTGCCTCCTGAATGCTGGGATTAAAAGAATGCACCACCACTGCCTGGCTGCTTATACTTTTTGATAATTGGACAGACTTCTGGGGAGTTTTCCTTCAGGTTGTCATTGTGGCCTCAGCTGGCATTTAGTGGCAGTTAGTCACCAGATGTCACTTTATTGGCAGTCAGGGTCAAGGGGCTAGAAAGTCACTAAGCACTTTTTGCTCTTGTAGAGAACTGGAGTTTAGTTCCTAGCACCCATATGACACAATGTCTTATAACCCCACAGCTAGAGGCCAACACTCCTGTGGCCTCACAGCACCAGACACTTATGTACTAACCACATACAAACACTTAAATAAAAATAATCTTAAAAATCAAGATGAACAAATTTTTCTGATAAACCAACCTTTTAAGGAAAAAGTAGGAAAACTCCATCTTTGTGACCTGACAAATATCCAAGGCCATAGCTGCCTTCCACCAACCTCCTCGTGTGTCTGAGCTCGCCTCCCATAGGTGAGCACGGAGCAAGACAAGAAGTGAAGATCGTTTATTGCTTGAGACAACCAGGAGAGCACTGGGGACCTTTTCCAGAGTAATCTCTCCCCAAATAAGGAAAGGAAGGAAATTGTGTTGGGGAGACTTGTACAAGTTTTTCCTAGAAAGACCTATCACTGCATAGAGAATATTTTTCTGCTGTATGCATTTGGAGATCATGCTTTATGTATTTATAAGCCAAGTTTGCCCTCGTGACCCAGAAGATTAGTAGGCTCTTCTGACTGGATTAAACTCGTGGGGAGGGGGAGATGTGCTTTAAGGAATGTAGCGTCTCCCCCCTGCCCTGCCTCTGCAGACAACAGTGTTTAGAGTGCTCGCTGACCGCGGGAGTTATTTCCTCAGTTAACCTTCTTACCTTCTTCCTGCATTTGGCTTCGCTTTTGTTCTCTAGTCAGTCTCTTTTCCTTTAAAGGGTTTGATGACGGTAAAGAAAACAGAAAGCGTCCATCGTTCACCTGAACATAGCAGTTGCTCCCGTTTCTCAGCCCTCATCTGCACATGCGCCCGTAGAGTTGTGTGACCAAAATCAGTTACTTGGCTGCAGCTAGTACTCCAGGACACGTGACCATTGTCGCGCGGTAGATGGAAGCATATTCTGTTTGTGTGTGTGAGTGTGTGTGTGTGTGTGTGTGTGTGTGTGTGTGTGTTTGTTTGTTTTGGGGTTTTTGAGACAGGGTTTCTCTGTAACTTTGCCTCAATGTATGCCCACACGCCAGAGGGCGCCAGATCTCAGTACAGATGGTTGTGAGCCACCATGTGGTGGCTGGGAATTGAACTCAGTACCTCTGGAAGAGCAGCCAGTGCTCTTAACCGCTGAGCCATTTCTCCAGCCCTATATTCCATTCATTTTTATAGTGACCATATTTTCCTCTGGTGAATTCTCTTGTCATTATAAAATTTTGTAATTTTTTTATATATTTTGAAAATTTTCTGTTAAAGTTCTGTAAATAGGCATTTTTTTAATGTATAAATCTTTCTGTGTTGAATGAAATTAAATGCTATGTTTGTCAATTTTAAGGCTTCTAGGTCAAACTATATCACTACCTGTTCTCGATGTCAGTCTGCTAGTTTCATTGGTTTTTACCTGTTTTATTTTGATTTATTGTTGTTATTGTTGTTGTTGGGAGAGTTGTTTCTATTTATTATGAGTCCCGTAAACATCATTTTTTTAATTTGGGTCAGATAAAAGTGATACACACCTGTAATCTCAATGTCCAAGCTGATGCAGGAAGATTCCAATGACTTCAAGCCCAGCCCAGGCTACATAGACTTATCTCAAAAAGAGAACAAGAAGTCTATTTCCTTTATTGGCATTCTGGTGTTTAAGGTGTTCCCCTCCCCAACCCCCCTCCCCACACACACACACACAGCCCTGTGCTCAGTCCTACTTGTTGAATGAAGCCCAATTAGTAAAGGCAGGAAGCTGTTTAACTAAGATTTCTTCATTTGTATTCCAAATACTGGTGACGGAATAGATAACACAAATAGCCGTGAAGTGAGGCTCTGCACCCACTGAGCCCTCTCTCCAGCCCCTGAATCCTGAGTTTCGAAGCAATGTTCTCAAGACGTTCTGTGAATAATGATTCTTAGCGTCAGAGAGTTTTATTCCAAAAGAGAGGTTTTCACCATTACGAAAGAAGTTAATAGAGGTTTAAACAGTTATTAATAATTTAGAACTTTTCTATTATGATCAGTATAAGCATCTATTGACAAACATTTTTTTAAATTTTTTTATTATTATTTTAGTGTTTTTTGTATATAGATGTTTTGCCTGTATGTGTGGGGGCCAGAAGAGGGCATAAAATCCTTGGAACTGGAGTTACCAGCAGTTATGAGCTCCCATTTGGTTCTGGGAATCAAACCTTGGTTCTATGGAAGAGTAACCGGTGCTCTTAACTGCTAAGCCTTATTTTAATTTTTATTTAAAAAGTTTTTTTTCATACAGTGTAACTCTTCCCACATCCTCCCTACCCACTCCATGTCCTTTAAAAATAAATAAATAAATAGTATGGAGTTCCTTCTGTATAGGCTAACTGCTCCTGAGGGGACTTGCCCTAGAATGTGGTTGACATACCTGTAACACACCACTGGAAAAAACTGGTTTCCCCTTTCCCAGAAAATATCAATTGTAAATTTGTAAATACTAGCTTCTTGGTTACTGGTGACCACTTCCTCTTGGCAGTGCTGGGATTCTGTCTGATGTCAGCCTTTGCAGGTCCTGTTCAGGCTGCCCCAGTCTCTGGTTCACATGTGTATCCGCCTTCTTACGTCTGGAAGATGCTGTATCCTTGGAGTCATCCTCTGGCTCCTACAGTCTTTCGGCCTCTTCTTCCACGTAGATCTCTGAGTCGGAGGGGAGAGATTAGATGAAGATATTCCATTTAGGGCTGAGTGCTCCAAAGTCTTTAACTCTGCACATCACCCAGTTGTGGGTCTCTGTGTTAATCACCATCTACTGCAAGAAGAGGCTTCTCTGATGCAGTTGAGCAATGCTGTGATCTATGTGTATAGCAGCATGTCATTGGAAGTCATTTTAGTGCTGTGCTCCTTTAGCAGAAGAGTAGTAGGTCTTCCCCTAGGCCTAGTATTTAATCCCAGGTATTTTGCCCCTCCAGTGGTGTCAGATATGTCTTCCATCTCATGGAGTGATTCTTAAATCCAGTCAGAAGTGATTGGCTACACCCATAACCTTTGTGGCCACTATTGCATCAGTATATCTTGCAAGCAGGTCTTTGTTGTCTGATGATTATTTTCTCCTCCAGCATGCAAAGCACATTCTAACCTATGAACACTAGTCAGCAGGTATGAAGCTTTTAGTGACCAGGTTGGTTTCTCTGTGTTTGACAACATAAGAAGTTGTGTCTTCAGCAACAGGGCCTTACATTCATTTCTGGACAAGAGTCAATAGCCTGTGATGTTTAGGGAATGTCTATGGAACCCCTTTGTCCAGCCTGCTAACATTTTTGACCTTGTACTTACATAGTCATAGATAGTTGGTCTTTTGTGATCTGTCCTCTTATGAATAAGATCTGATGAGAACTGTGTTCCAAATGCTGGGTAAGCATAACCTACAAATATCATAGCTTGAATTTTTGCCTAAAATTTTTTTTTGTTTGTTTGTTTGTTTGTTTGTTTGTTTTTTTTTTTTTGGTTTTTCGAGACAGGGTTTCTCTGTGGCTTTGGAGCCTGTCCTGGAACTAGCTCTGTAGACCAGGCTGGTCTCGAACTCACAGAGATCCGACTGCCTCTGCCTCCCGAGTGCTGGGCTAAAGGCGTGCGCCACCATCGCCCGGGTAAGCATAACCTACAAATATCACAGCTTGAATTTTTGCCTAATCTAACATTTGACGTAATTTCCCAAAAACTGCATGTGTGAACTTTAGATCTCTCCAAATAGCCTGTTTTGGGCAAGCTTTGCTGACTACCAATGGACTGGCACTTCTTCCCCACTTCTGGCTCTTTCCTTCCACTTAGAAGTCCAGGGGTTGTCTTGCTCCACCCCTCCTTCCTAGGCCAAGGGAGTGAATGGAGGAACATCAGGATCTTAGAAAGGGTTTGTTCTGCTCTCCTCATCCACATAAACATGGCTCACAGTGGTTCCAGTTGATGGCCAAGTCAACCTTCCGGAGCTGTTGCTCAGAGATATAATCCTGCTCCTTGCTAGTAACTGTATCAGTAATGGTGATAATTATTTAGAAAGTTAGGAAAGAAAGCTGATGTCTTTTAGAT